GACAATGCATAAAATGAAACGAGATGCTATGAATCAGTACAAAGCTGAAATGAAAGGCTGGCTGGATGGAATCTTTATTTAAGAATTGGTTAGACACGAAACTTCGTGATGATACTATTAAGCTTGGCTTCAAGCTCAGCTATTTTTTGGCTTGATTTCTGATAGCAACATGCACACTTTTGAGTAATCAATGCTGAACATAATATCTTTTAGATCGACGGACTCGTCTTCAACATCTAATCCCGCCCGATCAGTAAAATTGACAGTAGATCCTAAACCAAGCTTTATAGCATCTTGGGCAATGTATCCTATTTGTAACGGCACATCGTCTCCTTGGCTTTTTATAACGATACTGAACGGGGTTTAGATCCAAAATTGAATCTCCAACAGATTCATCTATTTGTTCGATATTCGTCTTAAATCGTTTATCGGATGTTGCGTAAAAGTCAGCCCCAGCTAACATGGCGTTCGAAGCTCTTATAGAAAGAGCTATTGAAGACAAAGGACCAATAGTAGAAACAAGACCGCCAGATCTAAGAAAATAGGCTACCCCCGTTCCAGCTATGTCCAAAGTCGATGAAACACTACCTGAAACGTCTAATATCGCCGATGGTGATCCAGTTCCAATACCGACTCTACCAGCCGGAGATTTCGTGTATTTGCAGTCATTAAAACCAAATCGTTGGTAGAAGTAGTTCTAAAATATGCACTATTAGTCGAGGTTGCATTTGTTGCATTGCTCAGTTGTAAGCCAAAACCAATAGGCGATGCGTTAGACGATTCCACGAAAATCGGCATATCATAGTTAGCGGTTCCATCGTTGAGTGCATTAGAGGCTTTAATATAAATATTTCCAGAATTCAGTATAATCTGAGCTGTTCCAAACGAACTAGTGTATGGCGTATTGGTATTAAATATCATCTTATTGATAGTGTCAGAAACAAGGTAAAGACAACCACTTGATGGTGTAGGAGACGATCCGGCAGGATTTATACAAAACGCATCTGCACTTATTGCTAATGTATAAGTATGAGGACAACCAGTTTTATACGGCTGAGTATTGCCAATATTGAAACAAAAT